CCTCATCCTGATGCATTGCCGAAATTAAAGACCACAGCTTTTTGCTGATGCCCTCCGGTACAGGCTGGGCTAGGGAGCAGAGGGACTGGACCCTACTTCTACCTGGTTTAGCCTGGTTTAGCCTGGGCATCTTTCTGTGAAAGCCGGCACCTGGCCACATGCCTCCACAGCGACTTTCGCTTAAGCAATGCCCCACAGTCTATACAGTGCAAAAACTCACTGGATTTAACTGGGCAATTTGGCTGTTTAGCTGGGACTAAAGTTCCAATGCCGGCCTTTAAAACCTCAACATTGTGCTCACGGTTTCCACTATTCCTGATCAAATCAAACTGAAGTTTACGTGCTTTAGATTTCACAGGTAGAGCCAATGCTCTGGCTACGTCACTTTCATTTCCATGTTTTCTAGTCAAATGACGGGACATTTTGTGGCAGGACATTGAACAGTAGAGGCAGAAGTGTCTCTTGCTGTAAACTCGCCCCCCATTTTTCTTCTTTTGCAGCTGCATGATAACAATCTTATTTGCCTTTGGTTCGTCACTTTCCGAGTCTTGAAGAAAAGTGTTTTTGATTTTTCTTTTTCCATACTTTTTTACAGGTTTCTTCTTGACAGTTAAATCGTCAGAATCTGAGTCGACTTCATCAATTAGGGACTCTTGACTAAGCTGCACAAACAACAAATAATTTGTAATAATTCTATATAACAATTTGAAGTCATGACTTGTAGTCAGCACTTACCAGTGGTTTGTAAGCGTGCGCTTCAGTGTGCTCCTCCATGATTTCTTGCAGCCTAATGAACCACACACTTGCACCTTTTTCTAGCCTGACACCTGATTTCCTCTGTTGTGCTGCTCCATGATTGGCTCCAGCCTGCTGGACTGAAATTGCCCCAGTGTGCCCCTCCTTGATATTCCGCAACCCACCACCAGGGTTCCGACACATAACACACTTTTTTCAGGAAAGTAAACCTCCAGGGGCCCTTTCCATATTTTTACAGAGACTGCATAAGGACCGTTAGAAAAGCATTACCCATTGATTATTAAGCTTGGACCAGTGGGGTCCGGTGTTCGGGCCCCACCACGTAAAACCAGTCCCCATGACGTGAGTGGAATCTCAGGTTATGGAACCCACCAGGAGTTGAAAACAAGTGCACACACACACACACACACACACACACACCAGAGTTACAATTGTGGGTATTTGTCTCTCCCTCCACACACAGATGGGAGTGGAGTTGCTGTACAGAAGGCGCATGACAGACCTATTGTCCTTATTTTTAGTCGTAGGGGAAACCGGAGCACCCGGAGGAAACCTACGCAGACACAGGGAGAACGTGCAAACTCCAAGCAGAAAGGTCTGGAGGTGGAATCAAACCCAGGGCCTTCTTTCTGTGAATGAGCCAGTTTTAGACAACTATCCACACTTTTATGTCTGACCAGTGTTGGGTGTAACTTGGATTCAAATACTTAGAATGTAGTTGTAGTAGTAGTATATAGTAGTATCCATCCATCCATCCATCCATTCTCTTCCGCTTCATCCGTTGCCGGGTCGCGGGGGCAGCAGTCTAAGCAGAGACGCCCAGACTTCCCTATCCACACACACCTCCTCCAGCTCGTCCGGGGGGACCCCAAGGCGTTCCCAGGCCAGCTGAGAGACATAGTGCCTCCAGCGGGTCCTGGGTAGTAGTAGTATATAAATATTTTAGTCTGTTTTCTTCGGTCATTATGAACGTTTAGATCTTAAGTCACATGTTTATGAAAGATATTATACATTATACAATACCAAGAAATGTATGTATTAATAATTTAAGGGCTAAATGATACCATAGGCTGAAGTCCAAACTTATTCTCCCTCACCCCTTTTACAACTGTAACTATGTCCAATTGTACACTGTTTCTTATGTTACAACTTTGTTTCTGTGTTTTTGTTCTATAAAATTCTTTCATACAGGTTTTGAACTAAACATCTTGATCGATTGATTTGAACAAAAACTAACAATACAAATACAAAATACTTAAAGTTACAGTTTGCAAAACAATTTCCCATCATTCAAACAAGGCACAAGTATTGTATAGCCCAGTTCATGGTCTGTGTTTCAGTCAGAGGATGTTAATGAATTCTGTGACGCTGTGACTGGATACATACGCTTCTGTATTGACTGTTGTGTCCCACAGAAGGTCATTAAAGAACATTTTAGTCAAAACCCTTGGATGAACGCGGAAGTGAAACAAAAACTTCATGAGCGTGTTCTGGCGTTTCAATCAAATGATACAGTTGCTTATAAGCTATCCTGTTACGCATTGAAACGTTCTATTAAATCTGCAAAGCGCAGTTACGGGGACAGGTTAAAGGGTTATTTTAAGGAAGATGACCCTCGGCGCATGTGGAGCGGTATTAAAGCCATCACGTCCTGGAAACCTAGTGCTGGGAAAATCGGATCTGTTGGCCCAGCTCTGCCTAATGAGCTGAACACGTTCTACTGCCGCTTCGAATCCGCTGATGCCTGTCCTACTGTCTTTCCTGATTGTCTCAATCAAGGTACCTTCACCGTGACTCAGGAGGTAGTCCAGCGGGTCTTGTCCAGCACCACAGTCCGGAAAGCCCCTGGCCCGGACGGCATCCCACCCCGTGTCCTGAAACTGTGCTCTGAGCAACTTGCCCCTGTGCTAACAGACATTTTCAACCTGTCGCTAAGGAACTGTACTGTGCCGAACTGCTTTAAAGAGTCGACCATTATCCCAGTTCCTAAGAAAACTCCTGTGACATGCCTGAATGACTATCGTCCTGTGGCCCTCACGTCTGTTCTTATGAAAACTTTTGAGCGGCTTGTGCTGGACTTCATTAAGAGCCAGATCCCTGTGAGTGTTGACCCGCTCCAGTTTGTTACAGACAGAACAGGAGTGTGGAGGATGCCATCTCCTTTGCTCTGAACTCTGTCTACAGTCACTTGGACACTAGTAAATCTGTCGGGAGAAGGCTTTTCATCGATTATAGCTCTGCTTTTAACTGCCTTGTCCCAGGTAAACTGATTGAAAAGCTCATGTCTCTGGGTTTAAGTGTTGCCATGTGTAAATGGATCTATAGCTTTTTAACTGACAGATCTCAGAGAGTGAAAATCAATGACTGTTTTTCAGATGTTGTTTCTGTGAGCACTGGTTCTCCTCAGGGATGTATTTTGAGTCCTTTACTTTTTACACTGTACACTCATGATTGTGTGTCTTCCTCAGACTCTAACCTGATCCTTAAATATGCTGATGACACCACCATCATCGGTCTCATCAGTAATAACGATGAATCGTCTTATAGAGCCGAGATCCAAAACGTGGTTCAGTGGAGTAAGGCTAACAACCTCCAGCTGAACGCATCCAAAACATGTGAACTGGTCTTTGATTTTAGTCGCAATAGTTCTCACTTGCCTGTCGCAATCGATAACTCCCAAGTGCAGATTGTAGAGGAGTGTAAGTTTCTGGGTTTAACTCTGTCTAACCTGAAATGGGTTAAAAACACTGACCGGGTCGTAAAGAAAGCTAGTCAGCGTCTCTACTTCCTGCGGAAACTTAGAGAATTTACCACTAACTCTAAGATTCTGCTGAACTTTTATCGCTGCACCATTGAGAGTTTACTTGTTGGTTCTGTGTCTGTGTGGTTTGGAAACATCACAGATAAAGAAAAGAGAGCTTTAAACAAGGTGCTCCGCTCTGCTAAGAGGACTGTGGGCTGTGAACTTCCTGTCCTGGAGGCTCTTTATCAATCCAGACTTTTTAACAGTGCCCTGAGAATTATCAATGACTCTTCTGGCCACCCAGGAGAAGCCTTGTTCCAGCTTCTTCCCTCTGGCAGAAGATACTGTTCTCTGAGATGCAGGACATCTCGTTATGCTAATAGTTTTTTTCCACGAGCTGTTATCAGTTTGAATAGAGCACTTTAATGTTTTTGCACTTGTATAGATCTGTTTTAGTTGGTCAACTTCACAGTGACATTTGTTTACTGTTTTTAAAATTTGTTTTATTTTTGTCTTTTAATGTTGTTTTATGTCTGTAGTTGTCCTGTGCACACTGGGAACTTTTACTAATGTATTCCAATGTAGTGTTACTGCAAATGGCGAATAAAATGAATCTGAATCTGAATCTGATCATGCACAACTTTTTGATCTTTGCTCTCTCCCTGTCACCTTTTATGAATCTATTCTGTCCACCTGCTTTTTTGCTCTTTCCTCCACATGCAGCAGTTTGTCGGACAGCTACAGTCGGAGATTGTAACTTCACAAAGATTCTCGTCCTCCCTGTTTTATCTATTCAACTCTTCAGCACATGGCACGGAGACTGGACCTGTACTCACGCCGCTTTGAGGACCAAATATGTCTATAAAGCAGAGTTCTTAGTCCAGCATGCCTTGAGGCAGGCTGGACTAAGAACTCTGCTTGGTGTTCCTTTGAAAATGCTCCAATATCCACATCCAAAGATGTTGTTGCTGGAGAAAGCATCACATCTTTCTTTGCGCTTATTTTTGTACCCTCAACACACTTTGTAAATGACTCTGCTAAGTTTTCATTTTAGCTTCAGCTTCATCTTATGGTGCAGTATGTGTGTGATGAGAAATATGTTCCGTTGCTCACAAAGGTTGGGGACCACTGCTCTAAAGTGCCAAGAAATGTCCTTCTGAACTTTCCAGGCAAAGGGAATTAACAAGAGGTGAAACGCGTTCTAATTTCTAGGACTTGCCCAAAGGAGAAAAGATGTACGGCTCCAACAGCTCCTGGCATTATAATTTCTTTCATAATTTGGTGTCGTCCTTTTCCTCTTTTGGGCATAAAATGGTGGATTATTGGCAGATTAAGGAGTGCCTCTGGCTTGATCCAGGGTAAGCTGCGCAGCACGCGGCCTCCAAGGTAATGAAGCTCTTACAGTGATGGCTTCTGGACGGAGAGCGCCAAATTCCCACCGCCGCCGCCGTCGTCTGGAGGAAATGAGATTGTGTCCCCAGAAAAGCCCCCGCTGTGGACTTCACGGAGGCCGAGGGAGGGACGACCACGAGTGGGGGAGAGGGAGGGATGTGGGAGAGAGGACCACGAGAGGGGGAGAAAGAGGGATGTGGGGGGAAAGACCACGAGTGAGGAAGAGGGAGGGATGTGGGAGAGAGGACCACGAGAGGGGGAGAAAGGTAGGGATGTGGGAGTGAGGCCCACGAGAGGGGGAGAGAGAGGGATGTGGGGGGAAAGACCACGAGTGAGGAAGAGGGAGGGATGAGGGAGTGAGGCCCACAAGTGAGGAAGAGGGAGGGATGAGGGGGGAGGACCACAAGTGAGGAAGAGAGAGGGATGTGGGAGAGAGGACCACGAGAGTTTCCAGAGGCACCAGCTCCAAACCAGCTTGTTGAGCGAGATTGTGGTCTAGGAAGTTCTCTTCTGTGCCAGAGTCAAGGAGAGCAGACAAAGGCACTTTGATCTGGTTAAAAACAGAGGGTTGCAGGGAGTAGAATCTTTGTATTGGGGTTTGGACAGGAGAAAGTTTGGCTCACCAGTGCCCCCAGGCTCACTGATGAGCCCTTTCTTTTGGTCGGGACGGGCAAGTTGCAAGAAAATGTCCATGTTTACCACAGTAGATGCACTCACCAGCTGTAATCCTGCGCAGTCGCTCAGTTTGAGTTAGGTGAGCACGTCCCACCTGCTGGGTTCCTCATCAGATACCGAATATCTGGATCGACCAGCGGAAACTATGGGGGGCAGGGCAGGGTTACGAAGTGGTGCCTATTTTTAATCAGCAGGAGACGTTGACATTGATGCATCTTCCCAGCCTCCCATCAGCGCCTATGGAACCCAGCGCCACAGGAGGCTGATTATCTGATGAGCCATATGCTGAACTCATACAACTTTTCAAATGTTATCACTGATATTTAACCACTACGGCTTAAAAAATACCTTGTTATGAAAGGGATTATTTGTTAATCTACTAAAAACTATTGTGTTACACCTTATTCCAGTCAATTTCACATTCTCCATTTGCTGCTAAATGATAATAATATTGCATCTTGCACATTGTGACCTGGGACTGTTACTGCGTTGGTATTCTTTTTATTTAACAGTATTTTGATATGATAAGATAAATTATTCCTAAAGTACATTCATCCCACAATGGGGAAATTTCAGTGTCATCGTTGCACACATTACAGCAGAGGGGAAAAAAAGGAAATAAGAACACTCAAACAGTGACTATTGTTTAAGATAATAGAAAATAAAATCAAGTGTTAAGGTGGTAAAACAGAATAAAATAAAATAAAACTCTATCTTATATGATTGTATTGACAAGGACTACAGATGGAAATAAGCATAGTTCTAAATCTGGTGCATCTTTTTAAAGGAGCTTGTTGGAATAACAGAGGCCTCCTGCTCCCGTTAAACTGAATCAGTTTAGTATTGTCTCTGTTGCTAAATTAATAACTACTTAGAAAACTCCACAAAGTTTAGGTCTAAAAAAGCAGTTGTTTGTCCAAATTAATTCTCTCAAGGTGCAGTTAGGTCAAGGTTATTATTTCTGAACAGTAAGAATTATTGCTGTATGAAAAGTGAGAAAAACAGTGCTTTCAACAGGTGCAGGAAGGTTTTGGCAGCTGGCCAGAAGAAGTCATGGAGTCCACGAATCTGTGATGTCAGTGACCTTGGATGTACAGTATGAGAGATGTACAGGAGTGATCGCGGGGGCTGCTTCTGACCAGGAGGGTGGAGACGTCCCCAAGGCCATTCTTATCTTCAACGTGAAGCGAGGCTTGTTTGCAGACCGTTACACTGTAATGTTTCTTGCAAACTCTTCAGTATAACATCTAAAATCAAGTTTGGTGTCTGTCATTTATATAACTATTTTTACATTGGTATTGTCTCTTGTTGAACAAAAGAACCTGCAGGACGAATGGGCCGTGGTGCTGCGGCTTCTCGTCTGGAGCAGGGGAAAACTGACAGATTTACGGCAAGCTATACCCGTTTCTGCAAGGTTTGAATGTTTAGCACCGCCCCTCAATGCACTCACAGGTTTCTCATTTCTCCTACGCTCTCATTCCACGGAGCATCTAGTTTTATTTGCGATCTGATACGTATGCTAACATTAGCATGAGCGCAACTTCTTAAGCTGTACAACAATCACTGATGAAATGGTACAAAAGCAACGCACTGCTAACACAATATATAACTGAAAGATTACCACTAGTTTCACGTCTGAATGTAGCATAGATAGTCCGAGCATAGATAGTCCGAGCGTCGATAGTCCGAGCGTAGATAGTCCGAGCGTAGATAGTCCGAGCGTAGATAGTCCGAGCGTAGATAGTCCGAGCGTAGATAGTCCGAGCATAGACAGTCCGAGCCCAGATAGTCCGAGCCCAGATTGATAGTCCGAGCGTAGATAGTCCGAGCGTAGATAGTCCGAGCGTAGATAGTCCAATAGATAGTGTGAGCGTAGATAGTCCGAGCGTAGATAGTCCAATAGATAGTGTGAGCGTAGATAGTCCGAGCATGGATAGTCCGAGCGTAGATAGTCCAATAGATAGTCTGAGCATAGATAGTCCGAGCGTAGATAGTCCGAGCGTAGATAGTCCGAGCATAGATAGTCCGAGCCCAGATTGATAGTCCGAGCGTAGATAGTCCGAGCGTAGATAGTCCGAGCGTAGATAGTCCGAGCGTAGATAGTCCGAGCATAGACAGTCCGAGCCCAGATAGTCCGAGCCCAGATTGATAGTCCGAGCGTAGATAGTCCGAGCGTAGATAGTCCGAGCGTAGATAGTCCGAGCGTAGATAGTCCGAGCGTAGATAGTCCGAGCGTAGATAGTCCGAGCGTAGATAGTCCGAGCATAGACAGTCCGAGCCCAGATAGTCCGAGCCCAGATTGATAGTCCGAGCGTAGATAGTCCGAGCGTAGATAGTCCAATAGATAGTGTGAGCGTAGATAGTCCGAGCGTAGATAGTCCGAGCATAGACAGTCCGAGCCCAGATAGTCCGAGCCCAGATTGATAGTCCGAGCGTAGATAGTCCGAGCGTAGATAGTCCGAGCGTAGATAGTCCGAGCGTAGATAGTCCAATAGATAGTGTGAGCGTAGATAGTCCGAGCATGGATAGTCCGAGCGTAGATAGTCCAATAGATAGTCTGAGCATAGATAGTCCGAGCATAGATAGTCCGAGCATAGATAGTCCGAGTTTAGATAGTCAGAGCGTAGATAGTCCAAGCGTAGATAGTCCAATTGATAGTCTGAGCATAGATAGTCCGAGCATAGATAGTCCGAGTTTAGATAGTCCGGGCGTAGATAGTCCGAGCGTAGATAGTCCGAGCGTAGCTAGTCCGAGCGTAGATAGTCCGAGCGTAGATAGTCCGAGCGTAGATAGTCCGAGCGTAGATAGTCCGAGCGTAGATAGTCTGAGCGTAGATAGTCCGAGGCGGTCCCGCAGGTCTCTCCCATAGACCAGTCTCTCCAGAGGATACAAAGTAAGCTAGCTATGTTCACCCGGGCTTGATTTCTTCTTTGATTATTTTTTGGCTTTAGTTCCCTCTTCTCTTCCTCACTTTTGCATCGTTCGGGCTGTTTTGCTGTGTCTGCAGTTACAGCCAGAGGAGTTATATCCACTTATGCTAACATGCTACTGTGGTTAGCAGCGCTGTAGAGGCTAGAGGACGCAGCCTCGTTCTGTGATTGGAGGAGAGCGGGCGTCACGCTAAGTCTCTACTCAGCACTTTTTACGCCTGAGTTCATACACAGCTGAATCAATGAGCTCAAGTTTTCCATTAAATTACGGATTATAATAAAATGTTATGTAATAATAAGCATTTTTATGAACTCAGAAAAAAAATTGGGTATAGCTTCTTTAATGTAACTACACTTAAACTCCAAACGCTATAATGTTTGAGCAGAGCTGGGAGTATGTGACCTAACGCAGATGAGCACATAAAGGACGATAAAAAACATGCCTTTGTTTCAGGCTAAAAGCTTGAAGTTATGAGGTGGAATCGCTCTAATGCTCATGATGGTCTCTGGTTTTATGGCTTTCAATCACGAGATTTCCAAGCTTCTTTGAGAATTTACCAGAATATAAATGCAGTATTACCTCATTCATCCACATGCTGTCACTCTGCTTTTATCGTCAATATATGTCGACTTCAGTTTGAAAGTCCTTCTCAGTTCTGACTGCTCTAGTATCGGGTTTTTTTCTATCTATTCGAATGAGCTTACACTCTCTCAGCAAATTATACACATTCTTTTTCATACGTTTATTCGCTGTTAAAGAAAGTATGGTACTATAAGGAGACAGATTTTTCTTTCCACCATGTTGCAACATTGTTCCCCAACAAAAACAGTAGTAGTTTTTAGATCCATCCATGCTAATATCAGGAACATCTGACACAGACATGTAGCTCCGCCCCTTCTGTCTAAACGCTCCTGTCTCAGTCCTGTAACATTATGATGTCATTGGTCGCCATGACGTCATGCTCAGAGCAGTTTTCTGCCTCTAAAACAAAAGTATTTCCCATGTGAAATGGCATTATTTATAATTGCAAGGCTGTGTTTGCTGCTTGTGATTTTCAAATTTAGAGAAAACTAGATATTCTACACCTCCCTCTGGTGGCAGCATAATGACAGAGCAGGCCGATAATACCCCTGACCCATATAACAATGTTTACTCTTCATACTTGTTTCACCGTGTATTTTCTACTTAAGATATTGTTGACAAAGAGTGGTCTGTGAAGGCGCTATATTGATAAAGATTTCATACTTACTGTACATAGTGATTTTTAATGAAAACATAATTGTTGGTAGTAGTTTGTCTGGTTTCAGGAATTAATTGCTTATCGTATAACCACTAATTTATCATTTTTACTCCATACTTTAAAAACCCAATATCTGTATTTTCTTCTCTTTTTAAAATTACACGTTTCTTTTATGACGACATAAAAGCAATGTTTGAAGTGGTTAGCCAGGCTTCTGCAGTAAATTCTGTCAGAATTCCCCCGCCCCAGAAGCTGCAGACAGGCCGCACAGCCCGTTTCGTTCTGCAGGCCCTTTTAGTTCAACAAGAGACAAAAACCAATGTTAAAACAGTAAATAGAAATGACAGATACCAAACCTGATTTCAAAAGGTTATATTGAAGATTTGCAAGCAATATTACAATATTAACGGTCTGCGAACACAAGTCTCGCTTCGCGTCCAAGATAAGGAGTGGCCCCGGGGACGTCTTTCACCCTCCTGGTCAGAAGAAAAAGAAAAAGCCCCCGTGCCTCCTCCTGTACATCTTTTATACTGTACATCCAAGGTCACTGACATCACAGATTCGTGGACTCTATGACTCCTTCTGGCCAGCTGCCAAAGCCTGCACCTGCTCTGATAACAACAGTTGTTTTTCTCACTTTTCATACAGACTAACCTTGAACTCACTGCTCTTTGAGATTTACACAAACAAGTGCTAATTTGGCAACAGAAACAATACTAAACTGATTTTAGTTTTAACTGGTGCAGGAGTTAATATTCCAACAGTCCCCCTGTTGGCCGGAGAGGAACTCTTCGGACATCCATCACTCTCGTCTCAGATGGCCCATCTTCATCAGTTGATCCAGCATTACATCCTATACTCAGTCTAATCCCAGTCTTCACGACGATCTGTGAACTCCTAAACCACCCCATGTGACATTATGAAAAATGTGGTGGTCTTCCACTCAGCCCTTACTTCAGACCCGCCCCAAAGGCCTCTGGGCGGACTGAGCATCCAACTCACCCTAAACTACATACATTGAAGTGATCCTATAAAACAATCTATATGTGGTTGTGCTGCGGTGTCTAGTCTGTGTAACAAAAACAATAGTTGCAAGAGCTGTGGAGAAAGAATATGTTTGTGTCGTGCATCAATTTGAATTATGTAATTTTTTATTTTAATTTTTAATTTTTATAATTTTTTATCGCATCCCCGATTTTCCCAAGTCCCTCTTACAATTTTGCAAGGTTATGTGCGTTATTTACATGCAAGCAGTTATACATTTTTGATTAAAATATTTTGATAATATCATAAAGCATACTCACAACTCCTCTGGTGATGTTCTGACAATATCACAGACCATACTCACCCGTTCTTCTGATGATTGTCCTTGATGGCTTAGGCTATGGTCATCAATTCTTCTGGTTCCCACTGTAGGTCCTGGGTTAGTAGCAGTTGTCTTTCTGCCACCTTCCCTTCCACAGCGGCTGTTATCACTCTGTTACATAAGGATCGTATGCACGGAATACAACAGCATCCACATAGCGTCAGGATTGCTGCAAATACAGCCACCGATAGTAGAGTTGATGCTATCAGTGCCTTATATCTGCCAAACACATCCAACCACCCATCCCACATTGAGTGGTCTACTCCTGAATGTGCCTTCATTTCTTGGGATAGCGCCTTTAGTCCCTGAAGGGCCCTTGTTAATTTTCCATTTGGGGCAGTATTATTTGGGATAAACGTACAACACGTAGGGCCAATCAATGAACAGGCTCCGCCTTCTTTGGCTAAAATCATGTCAACAGCAAGTCTGTTCTGGAAGGTCATTAAGGATGTGGCTGATAATTGTTCATGAATTGCCTCAAATCCATCATATGTATAATTGCTTAGCCTCTGTATGTTGTAATGTAAGTAGTTGATCCGATCGACGTTCTTATTTGGGGTTACTGGAAAAATTGCGGAGATTATTGGGATGTTTTCAAATCCTGATGCAATTTCATCAACCAATTTGTATTCATTTGGAATTCCCCTAGGAATACCTATTGCATCAATATAAACTGGACTTCCCTCCTCTGGTCTAGCCAGTGCCCTTCTTGATCTGGTTTTTACACTAATGATTTGTTTCAAAATCTCTGGCTTCTCTAGATCCACTGGAGCTATTTCAATTGGTATGAGTAATGAGATCAACACACACATGCCATCCCACAGAGGGTGTAGATATCCCCTTAAAGACTTGCCACCACAATACCACCACACATCTGCTCTGGCTACTGTCAACTTGTGTCCATTTAATTTTTCTGTGAAATCCTCATACCTAATGCATAAGGATCTATTTACATGTCCTACTTCCCTTTTTTCTCCACTAAGGACCTTCCTAATGACGCAGGTGTATTCACCTTTTACTTGTGAATTAAAAATTGGTGGTGTCGCATTTGTGGCAGTTATCGGATATATTTTATCATATAGTGAACAGTTGTAGCATAGCCACAAATGTTTAAAATGTGTTAATGTGTGTTTAGGTATATTTGTTTATGTTTTGGGCCTAATGGGACAGGTCTGTTTTGTGAATGAACTGGGGGGGCGTGTCCCGGGAGGGAGCGCTCATCAGAGACCTGCCATCAGGTGCGCGAGAGGGAGACAGGGGAGTTTTTGGTTTTGGACACGGCTCGAGGAGACCACGAGAGACTTGAGTCGGAGATCTGTGAAGGGATTATTGTAGCGGACTGTACAGACCCTCGAGACGGACCCGCCAGGAGAGCCCGGTTGCCGCTCACGCACGGCCTGTGCGCGTTTTGTTTATAAACTTTATACGCTGGAGAGGGAGAGCGCTCTCACTCACTGCGCTCTGCCCACACTCTGAACGTTTTGGATTACTTTCCCAGTTGGATTACTTTCTCGTTCTGTTTGGATTACCTACATCGTTTTGTCATCTCTTGGATTTGCCTTTTGAACTACACTGACTATCACCGGAGCCACGTACTCGTCACCAGGTTTGACAGTGGGACATACGGTGGGCGCGGGTAGGACTAAGTCTTTCATATTGTTTATGATTATTGCTTGTTTTGGACTGAGTAAATGGAGTACACGTTACACACAGCAGATTCATGAGTGGTTGTCTTTCTTTGGTCAGCGTTAGGTCAATCACAGCAGGTATAAAGCGTCACAGTTACCTCGATGTATTTGGTAGTGCGCGCTCCGAGGGGCTGAGTGTTACATATGGTGGCCCGTACGAGGACTTGTGATTTTGTCTGTGATTTGTACATTTGTAAACGCTTGTTTTTTTTTATATCCCACTCGGGTGTGTGTGTGGGTGTGTTACGTTGACATGGGGGATCAGGAGAGCGCAGATCAGGACAACCCAGACTTTACCGCAGGGCCGTTCGTAGCTCGCAGAAATCCTACGGGGGATATCGAGTCACTGTTAGACTCGCTGTATCTTCAGGATGGAGACGTCAGTCTGAATGGAGATGACAGAATAGAACGGGCTCACTCACAGGACAGAGTTAATGAGGAAAATTCCGACCATACTAGTCAGAATGGGGAGGAGGCTTTGGGAGCTCTTGGGAGAGGGCTGTTGGAGCCTCTTACTCCTGTAGTGGTGCAGAGGGAGAATAGAGTGGACATTTCCCAAACTGACTGGGACAGTATGCAGAACAGAATGAGGGTTTTGGAATGTCACCTAGGAGCTCTGGAGACTACTCACAGAGAGTCTGTGTCTAGTTCTCTCAACAGAGAAGCATCCTTTAGGGAGAGTGTTGAAAGGGCTTTGGCAAAAATGGAACAGGAATTCCAGGACAAGATAGAGGTGTTAGAGAAGAACATGGTTAGCTGTTTAAAGAGGAGGGATGAGAAGTGGCAAAGAGAGATTAGTACTTTGCGTCCCACTAGTACCCCTATTAATCAGAGAACCATTGCTGTATCCACTGACATGGGTGGTCCCCCTCCCCTTAATGCCACCTTTAGTATGCCTGGTGTATCCCCGTTCTACTTCAAGCCTCCAGTCCGTTTGGATTTCCCCACATTTGGACCTAGTTGTGAAACCGCGGACGTGTTGAGTTTTGTGGAACAAGCAGAGAACTTTTTGGAGTTACGCCCACTCTCGGTACCAGAACTGATGGGGACATTATCCTCCGTGTTGAGGGGACCTGCGCTAAGCTGGTGGAAAGCTGCAAAAGGCCAGGTGCTTGATTGGAGTATGTTTAAAGAGACATTTTTGAACGCATTCCTTCCCACGGACTATATGGCGGAAGTGGAGGAAAAGCTGAGGGAGCTGGTGCAGCAGCCCGACCAACGTCTGCGGGACTTCGCTTATGATTACCAGGCCCTGTGTCTCAAATGGAAACCGGATATGCCCGAGGAAGAAATCGTGAGACGCATACTTAACAACACAAATCCAAAAGTAGCGGGGTGTTTGAGAGGAACTGTCCATACGGTCACAGACCTGGTGAAAGTGGGGTCCATGGTGGAGAAAGACTGTGGTAGCGCTAAAGGCTATTGGCAGAAAGTGCATGCCTCCACCGAGGGAACTGGGAAAAGGGCCCTAGAAAAAAGAGGCGGGAATAAATTCAATGCAGTTGTCACCCAACCTCCACCGCCCCAAATGCCGAGAGCAGAGCTGCTGTTGGTTCCTCTTACCATATGCAATGTCCAGGGAGTAGCTGTGGTGGATACCGGAAGTACCTACACGCTCATGCGAGAGGGTCTATGGAGGAACCTCCATGGCACCTCAAGAGACTTGATTCCATCAGAGGACCAGAGGTTTGTCATGGCGGATGGAACCGCGCATGTTGCCCTGGGAAAACAACGCTTCGGACTGGACTGGCATGGTCGAAAGCTGAGTGTCGAGGCGCATGTTATGGACGACAGACATCTCGCTTTTCCCATGATAATCGGACTGGATTTTTCTGACTGATGCTGGGGTTATCCTAGACCTGGCTAAACGCGTTTATGGATTACAAACAGCAAATGGTTATGTTTTCCATCCCTTCCTTCTGCCGCCCACAAGACCGGGTCCATGGACGAGAACTGTTCCGAGGGTGCATTTATATTACGCACCCCAACCGGGCAGATTCCTGCCATGCTGGACCTCGTATCCGCTCATGATGAACTCTGTCTCTGTCGACCAGCCCAATGAACTTTCTCAACTCATTAATGCCTGGCCCACAGTGACTTCCAGTGTGCTCGGCAAGACCACAGTGGAAAAACACACAATTTACACCCAGGACGAGGTGCCAGTTAAATCTCGAGCTTACAGGGTATCTCCCCTCAAAAAGAGAATAATTGAAGAGCATGTCGAGAAAATGCTGGACGAGGACATCATAGAGCCGTCTCAGTCATCTTGGTCCTCACCCGTGGTCATGGTCGATCGTCCTGATGGCCGGGAGCGATTCTGTATAGACTTTCGCAAGGTTAATGCTAAAACCCTCCCAGACGCTTACCCCATGCCAATCATCCATGAGATCCTCGAGTCACTAGAGGGTGCGACATGGTTCAGCGCCTTGGACCTACAGTCGGGGTATTGGCAGATAGCCATGGATGAAAACAGCAAACAAAAGACAGCTTTCATCACGACTCTGGGACTCTTCCAGTTCAAACGCATGCCCTTCGGTTTGCGGAACGCGGCAGCCACCTTTCAAAGATTGATGGAGAAAGTGTTGGGAGAGCTGAGAGGCAGGATGTGCTTTGTTTACATTGACGATATCATTGTATACTCTACGTCCCGTGAACAACATTCTAGAGACCTGAACTCTGTCTTCCAAAAGCTACAGGAAGCCAATCTCAGCCTGAACATGAAGAAGTGTCAGTTCTTCAAGAGAGAACTAAAGTTCTTGGGACATATCGTGTCCTCTCGGGGTGTGGAGGTGGATCCATCCAAAACCAAAGCAGTGTCAGAGTTCCCCGTGCCACAGGACATTAAAGAACTGCAGCGTTTTCTGGGGCTCGCGGGCTGGTACCACAAATTCATTCTGGGCTTCGCGGACATGGCCGCCCCATTGAACCATCTCAAGAAGAAGGGGGTGGAATGGAAATGGACTTCTGAATGCCAAGCCAGTTTCACGGCCCTCAAGCTGGCTCTCAACAACCCACCTGTTCTGGCACAACCAAACCAAAATCTGCCATTCCAAGTTCACACGGATGCCAGTGAGGCTGGGCTGGGAGCCATACTCTCACAGCCCTTTCCTGAGGGAGAGAGGGTGGTAGCCTATGCTTCACGGATGCTTCGAGGCCCTGAAAAGAACTATTCTACATCAGAGAAGGAGTGCCTGGCCGTGGTATGGGCCATAGAGAAGTGGAGGCACTATCTGGAGGGCATCCATTTCGATGTCTTCACTGACCATGCTGCTCTGGCCTGGGCTTTCAATTGCCCAAAAACTTCTTCCCGTCTGACACGCTGGATCCTGCGATTGCAACAGTTCACCTTCAGAGTGCACTATCGAAAAGGGTGCCTCAACACTGCACCAGACGCACTGTCACGATCCTGTGAGAAACAATCCCAGAACACTCACTGTTTAGCACTCGCTGGATGGAAACACAGCAAAAACCTGCCAACCACCTTAGACGAGATTGCCAAAGCACAGACACAAGACCCGTTTATCCATGACCTGACACTCAATAAAGCAGGACAGGCCAAACCCAACCGGATCACTTTTGTTAACCACCAAGGTGTGATCTATCGCCAGGTTCCAATAGACGGTGGAGAAAAGTACCAGCTTGTCGTCCCTCAAGTCCTAGCCCCAGAGTTCCTCCAGTATTTCCATGATAACCCTCTAGGTGGGCATCTAGGACGGCTGAAGACCCTACTGAGGGTGTTGGAGGTTGCCTGGTGGCCTACTGTACGCAAAGATGTATGGGAACACACAAAGTCCTGTGAGAGCTGCCAGCGTTATAAACCAGAGAACACCAAACCGCATGGATTTCTCCAGTCCACACAGGTGACTGCTCCAGGAGAGATGCTGGGCATCGACCTGATGGGCCCATTTCCCCGAAGCAAAAAGGGAAACTGTTACCTGGTGGTGGTGGTTGATTACTATTCAAAATGGGTGGAGGTATTCCCACTACGGGATAGCAAAACTCCCCGTATCATTAAGATCCTGCGAGAGGAGATCTTCACTCGTTGGGGGGTTCCCAAATTTCTCGTCTCGGACCGAGGTCCACAATTTACTGCTGGCCTCTTGACTGACCTCTGCAAAGCATGGGGGGTGATACAGAAACTCACCACCAGTTACCACCCTCAAACTAACCTCACTGAACGGTTCAATCGGACCATCAAAACCATGATCGCATCCTTCGTAGGGCCCTCCCATGAGATGTGGGACCAGTGGCTACCAGAGATTCGTTTCGCTATCAACACTGCTCAGCAAGAAACTACTGGCAGGACTCCGGCAGAGCTGGCTCTGGGTCGGCTGCTTCATGGTCCGTTACAAAGACTCATTCACAAACCACCCAGCCCTGAGCAAAAAGACTCTTATGATGCGGTTGAGCGACAACAAAAACTAGGGGAAGAGGTAAGGAAAAGGATGGGGGTACACCAGGTTCGCCAGGCTAAATACTACAACTCTCGAAGGAAAGAGGTGCAGTTTGAGGCAGGTGACAAAGTCTGGGTTCGGGCGCATCCACTCTCCAAGGCTAGTGAGAAGTTCTCTGCCAAGTTAGCTCCGAGATGGGACGGGCCAGCCTCCATAGTCAGGAAGTTGGGGCCTGTGAACTATCTGGTCAAATGGGAGGAGTTGCCCAGTAGGCAGGACGTGGTCAATGTGGTGAATCTTAAAATGTGTTATATGGTCAACTAGTAGCCTCTGGCTGGAGGGGGGGACTCTGTAGCATAGCCACCAAATGTTTAAAATGTGTTAATGTGTGTTTAGGTATATTTGTTTATGTTTTGGGCCTAATGGGACAGGTCTGTTTTGTGAATGAACTGGGGGGGCGTGTCCCGGGAGGGAGCGCTCATCAGAGACCTGCCATCAGGTGCGCGAGAGGGAGACAGGGGAGTTTTTGGTTTTGGACACGGCTCGAGGAGACCACGAGAGACTTGAGTCGGAGATCTGTGAAGGGATTATTGTAGCGGACTGTACAGACCCTCGAGACGGACCCGCCAGGAGAGCCCGGTTGCCGCTCACGCACGGCCTGTGCGCGTTTTGTTTATAAACTTTATACGCTGGAGAGGGAGAGCGCTCTCACTCACTGCGCTCTGCCCACACTCTGAACGTTTTGGATTACTTTCCCAGTTGGATTACTTTCTCGTTCTGTTTGGATTACCTACATCGTTTTGTCATCTCTTGGATTTGCCTTTTGAACTACACTGACTATCACCGGAGCCACGTACTCGTCACCAGGTTTGACAGTGGGACATACGGTGGGCGCGGGTAGGACTAAGTCTTTCATATTGTTTATGATTATTGCTTGTTTTGATCTATTATCACAACTACTGATAGACAAATACCAATAAACAGGCAATAACACTGTACTAACGATTTACATCAAATTAATTGGTTTGATACAAAAAAATATATAGTAAGTTTTTATGTATTAAAACATAATTAGCAAATAGTCAACAACCCAAAAAAACATTTATAATCCTGTAAATGGACAAAAATGTACGTCCAATGATTCAGTGTAACTCGATAATCATTCTGTCAATAATCTGTGCACAATAATCCAAAGTGTATTTGCACTGAACAGGGCAGCTCTGACCCAGGTCTAAGGACTAAACCAGGACTAAACCAGAACTAAATAGGGACTAAAGCAGTTTTAAATCAGGTCTAAAGCATGGACTAAATCAGGACTAAACCAGGACTAGACCAGGACTAAAGCTGGGACTAAAGCAGAACTAACTCAGAATTAAAGCAGGACTAAAGCAGGTCTAAAGCAGGTCTAAAGCAGGTCTAAAGCAGGACTAAAGCAGGTCTAAAGCAGGACTAAAGCAGGTCTAAAGCAGGTCTAAAAGCAGGTCTAAAGCAGGACTAAAGCAGGTCTAAAGCAGGACTAAAGCAGGTCTAAAGCAGGTCTAAAGCAGGTCTAAAGCAGGTCTAAAGCAGGTTCTAAAGCAGGTCTAAAGCAGATCTAAAGCAGGACTAAAGCAGGTCTAAAGCAGGTCTAAAGCAGGTCTAAAGCAGGTCTAAAGCAGGTCTAAAGCAGGTCTAAAGCAGGTCTAAAGCAGGTCTAAAGCAGGTCTAAAGCAGATCTAAAGCAGGACTAAAGCAGGTCTAAAGCAGGTCTAAAGCAGGTCTAAAGCAGGTCTAAAGCAGGTCTAAAGCAGGTCTAAAGCAGGTCTAAAGCAGGTTTAAAGCAGGTCTAAAGCAGGTCTAAAGCAGGTCTAAAGCAGGTCTAAAGCAGGTCTAAAGCAGGTCTAAAGCAGGTCTAAAGCAGGTTCTAAAGCAGGTTTAAAGCAGGTCTAAAGCAGGTCTAAAGCAGGTCTAAAGCAGGTCTAAAGCAGGTCTAAAGCAGGTCTAAAGCAGGTTTAAAGCAGGTCTAAAGCAGGTCTAAAGCAGGTCTAAAGCAGATCTAAAGCAGGACAAAGTAGGTCTAAAGCAGGTCTAAAGCAGGTCTAAAGCAGGTCTAAAGCAGGTCTAAAGCAGGTCTAAAGCAGGTCTAAAGCAGGTCTAAAGCAGGTCTAAAGCAGGTTCTAAAGCAGGTCTAAAGCAGGTTCTAAAGCAGGTTTAAAGCAGATCTAAAGCATGGACAAATGTAGGTCTAAAGCAGGTCTAAAGCAGGTCTAAAGCAGGTCTAAAGCAGGTCTAAAGCAGGTCTAAAGCAGGTCTAAAGCAGGTTTAAAGCAGGTCTAAAGCAGGTTCTAAAGCAGGTCTAAAGCAGGTTCTAAAGCAGGTCTAAAGCAGATCTAAAGCAGGACTAAAGCAGGTCTAAAGCAGGACTAAAGCAGGTCTAAAGCAGGTCTAAAGCAGGTCTAAAGCAGGTCTAAAGCAGGTCTAAAGCAGATCTAAAGCATGGACAAATGCAGGTCTAAAGCAGGTCTAAAGCAGGTCTAAAGCAGGTCTAAAGCAGGTCTAAAGCATGGACAAATGTAGGTCTAAAGCAGGTCTAAAGCAGGTCTAAAGCAGGTCTAAAGCAGGTCTAAAGCAGGTCTAAAGCATGGACAAATGTAGGTCTAAAGCAGGTCTAAAGCAGGTCTAAAGCAGGTCTAAAGCAGGTCTAAATGCTTGCCTGTGATGCGTCTCTGTGCAGTGTGGACGTGGGCAAGTCTCCGGACATCCCGTACGTCTACGTGACTCATGAGGGTCTGGTGAGGAACTACAAGCCCATCCAGGTGGTCACGGCCTGCACCCTCAACATCTACAACTTCCCCTTCGACGTTCAGAAGTGCAGCCTGACCTTTCAGAGCTGGCTCCACACCAGTAAGAACACCGCCTCTGTTTACACCAACCCTTTAGGCGCCACAGGTTTTTCTAAGACGCTCAACTTTGACATCTTCATTTCTTAATAACTTCAAAGTGATAAGAGATAGTGGCTTTATGTAAATTAGAGAAATGATGAGGATGGCCCAAAGTGTATGTAGGAATTAAATGTATCAATCTAATTTGCATATTAGGATTTCATATGGTGGTGGCAATCGTGGATTTTCATGTTTTTTTTTTTTTTACTTACAAACATACAAATCATAAGGACATGAACACACAAACATAACTCACATTGTACTCTACGTGTCAGGGGAAGCAGTGCCAATTCATTTTTACACCCTGCTTGACACAATCTGCAGTTTTAAAGGTGCCATATTTCGCTTTTCTTCATTTTTCTTCATTTTTCACAGTCCATCCAATGCACAAGTGTGATAATAATTTGGGTGATACGCCAAACAACACTCAAAACCTGTCAAATTATAGCCATTTTGTGCATAGAGCTGATCTCTGTGGGACCCGCCTCCCCCCTCCCCCAAGGTGACGTAGCATCACGTTAAGTTCAGAGGTAAACAAGAGCTAACTGTACCGCTTTCACTGTTAGTCATTTCCCATCTGAGAATACACTTTTCCCAACAATGGCAGCCCGTCACATAGAGCCCCGTGTCCTCGATCCAGAATCAGACCTAATTATGTTGTTCACAGTGACACACGGAGAGTAAGAAACACTGTCCTCACAGGCCGAGGCTCCTGTTAGCGTCTTTTATGTTGGGAATAACACATGTTTCCAGATCAGCTTTTTGTAGATGCCGTTTCAAGGTAACTGTAGTTCTGGAACAGTCACCGTCGCTCGCAAAAAAACCATATGTGAGTTTCAATGCGGATTTCAGACTCACCGATACGAGGCAGATCCCTGTGAGCAAAGTCGATCCTCATTCTCCGTCTTCAGGTCAAAAACTCTCGTCACATAGCTACACTAATAACACATTTTCTCCAAGTCACATGAAGCTAACACAAAAAAACCACAGACGCTAATTTACTGTCTATGGACCACACGCTGGACTCGGAGAGCGGCTGCAGCTGACCATAGACCCCGCTGATTCGCAGGTTTAGTCTCTCCCCGCTGTCAATCAAATCTTGGAGGCGGGCTTTTGACGTCACAATGTGAATCAGCTCGTTTCTGTGCGTCTGGAGAATGAAAGAGAAAGATCGCTCTCTAACTAAAGCTTGAGGGAATCAATGAAAAAACGATTCTGGGTAAATAGCTGTAATCATGTTTAAACCAGAGAAAAGTCAAACAGCGTGACTTTTGACAGATTAGGCCCATAATGATGACTTGACATGAGAATTTGACATATTGCTACTTTAAGTTATAACCTGTTTTATTGGAACAGTATAAAAAGTGTTTGTTGGTGTGTTGTGCAGTCGACGACATCAACATCACCCTGATGCGGAGCCCAGAGGAGCTGAAGCAGGATAAGAGCGTGTTCATGAACCAGGGGGAGTGGGAGCTGCTGCACGTTCTCTCCAACTACAAGATCTTCAGCGTGGACCACGACGACTACTACGCAGAGATGAAGTTCCACGTGAGGACCTCACTCTGACATCACACAAGGACTAAACAGGACTAAACAGGACTAAACAGGACTAAAGCAGAGACTTATGCAGAGACTAAAGCAGGACTAAACAGGACTAAACAAGACTAAAGCAGAGACTTATGCAGAGACTAAAGCAGGACTAAACAGGACTAAAGCAGGACTAAACAGGACTAAAGCAGGACCAAACAGGACCAAACAGGACTAAACAGGACTAAACAGGACGTAGGTTTCCTCCGGGTACTCCGGTTTCCCCTACCACTAAAAATATGTACAATAGTTCTGGCATGTGCCTCCTGTACTGGCCCCGCTCCCATCTCTGTGTGGAGTGAGAGACAAATGCCCAAAATTAACAATTGTAAACCGCTTTGAGACTCAGATCTGCAGTGAAAAGGCAGTATAAATAAAATAAAAACTTACTCACTTACTAAAGCAGGACTAAACAGGACTAAAGCAGAGACTAAAGCAGAGACTAAAGCAGGACTAAAGCAGGACTAAAGCAGGACTAAACAGGACTAAAGCAGAGACTAAAGCAGAGACTAAAGCAGGACTAAAGCAGGACTAAAGCAGGACTAAACAGGACTAAAGCAGAGACTAAAGCAGAGACTAAACCAGGACTAAAGCAGGACTAAAGCAGGACTAAAGCAGGACTAAAGCAGGACTAAAGCAGGACTAAAGCAGGACTAAAGCAGGACTAAAGCAGGACTAAAACAGGACTAAAGCAGGACTAAAGCAGGACTAAAGCAGGACTAAAGCAGGACTAAAGCAGGACTAAACAGGACTAAAGCAGGACTAAAGCAGGACTAAACCAGGACTAAAGCAGGACTAAAGCAGAGACTAAAGCAGGACTAAAGCAGGACTAAAGCAGGACTAAAGCAGGACTAAAGCAGGACTAAAGCAGGACTAAAGCAGGACTAAAGCAGGACTAAAGCAGGACTAAAGCAGGACTAAAGCAGGACTAAACAGGACTAAAGCAGAGACTAAAGCAGAGACTAAAGCAGGACTAAAGCAGGACTAAAGCAGGTCTAAAGCAGGACTAAAGCAGGACTAAAGCAGGTCTAAAGCAGGACTAAAGCAGGACTAAACCAGGACTAAAGCAGGTCTAAAGCTGGTCTAAAGCAGGACTAAACCAGGACTAAAGCAGGACTAAAGCAGGACTAAAGCAGGACTAAAGCAGGACTAATGCAGGACTAAAGCAGAGACTAAAGCAGAGACTAAACCAGGACTAAAGCAGGACTAAAGCAGAGACTAATGCAGAGACTAATGCAGGACTAAAGCAGAGACTAAAGCAGGACTAAAGCAGAACTAAAACAGGACTAAAGCAGGACTAAAGCAGGACTAATGCAGAGACTAATGCAGAGATTAAAACAAGACTAAAGCAGTACTTATGTAGGACTAAACCAGGACTAAAGCAGAGACTAAGGCAGAGACTAATACAGAGACTAATACAGAGACTAAAGCAGGACTAAAGCAGGACTAAAGCAGAGACTAAAGCAGGACTAAAGATGGACAAAAGCAGCTCTGAACCAGAACTAAAGCAGGTCTGAAGGAGGACTAAATTAGGACCAAACCAGGACCAAACCAGGACTGAGCAGGGATTGAAGCACATTTAAACCAGAACCAATCCAGGACTAAGCCAGGATTATAGCAGGGACTAACTCAGGACTAAAGCAGGACAAAAGCACATTTAAACCAGGACCAAACCAGGACTAAAGCAGATTAGTCCTTGCCTTAGCCCCGCTCAGTCCCCTCAGTTACTCGGTCACATATTTCTGGAACGTTCCGGTGTCCGTGTCTCCGCAGGTGGTGATCCGGCGCCGTCCGCTCTTCTACACGGTGAACCTGCTGCTGCCGAGTATGTTCCTGATGATCATGGACGTGGTGGGCTTCTACCTGCCCCCGGACAGCGGCGAGAGAGTCTCCTTCAAGATCACCCTCCTGCTGGGCTACTCCGTCTTCCTCATCATCGTGTCAGACACTCTGCCCGCCACCGCCATCGGGACGCCGCTCATAGGTGCTGAGCCCAGAGTCCGGACGCACAAAAATATACACACACACTTTTAGGAGCAAATACACACAATTTTAAAACTTTAGTAACACCAATGACAATACATCGCAAAAAATATAATTAATATTAGGTAATCATTGCTTGAATGGAGTGGTTTTTATCTTAATCTGCGCACATTCTGACTGTGTTATAACAAGATTCTCCAATGGGACAAAGCCATTTAGTCTTATATCAAGAACTGCTGCTGTATTTTCTCATTCAAAAGGAGACATTTCTTGTATCTTTTCAAAACAAGATCATTTGTCAATTGGCAAATCTGGTTTCAAAGCAGTCAAAAGGAGCTCAAATAAAGATAGATTTTTGCCAAATTTCAGCATTTTTGAAGTGAAACTATGAAACCATGAGACTCTCCAGGACTCTCTGGGACTCTCTGGGACTCTCTGGGACTCTCTGGGACTCTCTGGGACTCTCTGGGACTCTCTGGGTCTCTCTGGGACTCTCTCGGACTCAACTGGGACTCAACTGGGACTCTCTGGGACTCAACTGGGACTCCTTTGGGACTCTCTGGGACTCACCGGGACTCACCGGGACTCACCGGGACATGTTTGTGTTGCTGTTCTCCAGGCGTGTACTTCGTGGTGTGCATGGCGCTCCTGGTGATCAGCCTGACGGAGACGGTTCTGATCGTCCGCCTGGTGCACAAGCAGGACCTGCAGCCCCCGGTCCCACACTGGCTCCGGTCCCTGGTCCTGGAGAAGGCCCCTGTGCTCTTCTGTATCCAGCACAAGCAGCGGCTCTGCTCCCGGCTCTCCTCTCACTCCCAGGCATCCGAGCTCGACCACTGCAAAGACAACAGCTACGGGGCCGGTGAGCACAGACGTGGAGGTTCCTGTGGTTTGGGTTCAGGACAGATGGGATTTAGAAGATTTATGGTGATAGATGGAGAGATATTTAATAAACACATTTAATGTTATGTAGTTTAGTTGAACTGTTCGTTTCAAAATGCCTGTTACACAAAATAACACAGATACTGGACTTGGATGATGGATGATTTGAAAACTCCCCATCTCTACCAGTAGGTGGGGGTGTTTCATCCATTTTACATGTTAATCCATTCATTTAGGCCAGTGGTAGCCTGGCCTTATCCATCCGTACACTCCGCTCAATCATCAGTTCACTGCATGTAACGTCTGGGTCTGATCCTCATGTTAGCGATTACAATCGGTTGAATTTCAACCGACCAATCAGCGAGCGCGGAGGGCAGGTTGTAGTTTGGTAATGGCGAAGAATGCGATGGTAAAGTAATCTGGTTTGGTTCTATCAAGAAATTTAAGCCAGAGCAAGAGGAATGTTTAGCAAATGTAATCGTTGTCAAAAATTGTGGCGCTACTTCCCACGGGCTCCGTTAGCGGCAAAGGAGATGGCTAGGCTAAATGCTAAATGCTAACGACAGACTCGGGCTCAGTACATACGTCACAGTAAACTCAGATCCAATGGTTTCAATCTGCAAAAGGAGGTGACCCCTCCCACCTGTTCACGGAGTCAATGGAGCAATTCCAGACCTTAGTATGAAATGAAATTTGTACTATGGTGTGGTACGACCAGGCTAGCCCAGTGGTGATGATCCAGGACACTTGATATTCACAACATTTATGGACTTTGGTCTCTGCCCTTAATGGACCAATGGTTCTATGTGTTTTTGTTTATTTCTTGTATTTGAGCAGTTTGATTCTCTGATCTGTGTTGGCGAATTGGCGGTTTTGTAAAGTCCTCCGAGATAAATACTGTTGTGATTTAGAGTTGTACAAAAATAAATCGAATTGAAATGTATTTAAAACAATAATAATAATATTAATAATAAAAATAAATAACACTTTGACCACTTCATGCCGTAGCCATCACCATTCTGATTTCATAAAGTGTTAAATCATGTTAAAAATGTATATAAAATACAAATACCACATCTCTCATTTTCCTTGTCTCCTCTCAGCCCAGTGCACCCTCCACCACGGCGGCAACGACTTTGGCCGCCGCCGCAGCCACCACGACCGTGATGGGGGTCTTCTGCTGGGCTTCCCCTCCCCCAGAGACCCTCCGGCGCCTCCTCCCGTCATGAACAACATCCTGCAAGAAGTCACCGCCATCCGACAGTCGCTGGAGAAGAGGGACCACTGTCGTGAGGTGGCGAAGGAGTGGCTCCAAGTGGGCTACATCCTCGACGTGCTGCTGTTCCGCGTCTACCTGGTTGCCATAGTTACGTACAGCATCACCCTGGGAACGCTGTGGGCGGTGTGGAGAGGCGCGTGAGGCGAGAACAGTAGCGGGCCTAGTACGCTCCCCTGTGGGACCTCGGAGAAACCAGCAGCGGTGGAAATGGCGCTGGGGTCTTGTGTTTGCCTCTGCTGTAAGTAAAAGAAGTGATGATGAGAAGTAAAATTATTAATTATTTATTCATTTATTTAAATTGTGGACATAACAATACACCAAATATTACAATTACATCATGAATAATTGTCACACAAATGAAAAGGAGAAAAACACATGTTGTCTGCCCCTTTCTTACAAAGTGAAAGACAATATTAAGCGGGACTGCAGCACTTTCTAAATTATGATTATTTTTATGTATTTTATTATCTCCATATTTTTCATCACTCATTTCATATGATTTCATTGTTGTCGTTTTGATTTTATTTAAACGCAGTAAAACGACACATGCCCTTCTGCGTTTGTATTGGTCTCTGTGGTTGTGGTGTTAAAGCTGGGTGACCTATCATTTCTAATTTCTTTCTTTCTTGAGTCTTGTTAAGATATAGATCGGAGCTTTTCATATTTTCATACCTAGAAGGGCAACCTCCGGGAGTCTCTATGAGTCACTATTTGACTCTTTGGGCTGAGAGCTAATCGCCAAAGTTTCACAAGAGAAAACCACAGTGATTAGAACCCAACTGTTTGGAGAGCCAGAAACTATTGACAGGCATTTTATTTTATTTTAATAATTTTTTAAATATGGTTTGGAAATTGTGTACCCCAGCTTTAAAGAATCTTGGCCTCTACACACTTTGCGGAAATAATCGTGTATTGTTTCGATCTGCATTGAAAGTTTGTTTAATAAGACAAAGAGTGTTAAGAAGCTTGTACTTTTGGCTGAATGTGGATTATCTAATATTTATATGAGACTAAGCCAACAAACTGGTGTATAGGCTAATGCTAATGCTAATGCTAAGGACTGTTTGTGTGATGTGCGCCACGCCATATTTGGTTATGAGCACCAAGTCCTCAGAGCTTTTTATCAACTTTTATTGGACATTATTGATATTTTGCATAAGACTTTCCCCAGAAATGGTAGAATTTGTGGTAATCCTCCTGTAAAGCTGCTGATGTGAAACTCATCTGCGATTATCGTTCTGAGACCGACTGAAGACGTCATTTCTCATTAATCAAAACAACAATGTCTACATTCATGAGTTTTATTGTGTATTTTCTTTGTTGTAAATAAAAGATCCTTCACGTGGGAACATTCAAATCATATCTTTAGGAATGATTCATTTACACCTGGATGTGCTGTGTTTACGTGGGACTACTTTAGACCCTGGTGGTGGACAAGGGTATTACAGGGAGTACTTCACAATACAATGACAATAAATCTCACAATATTATCTTCTCACAATTTCTTATTATTCTTATTTTCAGATTGTTACTTTATTGTGGAATATTATGCAAGGTACTGTGATGTCCAAGAATAAAGTCTAAAATAAAGTCTAAGTCTAAAAGTACAATGATAGTAATATATAAATCATTTACCAAAGAAAACACAACATTTAAATAAAATGAAAAATTATAACAAGAAATCTTTCCTACATTTTTGGCTAAATCCAAACTAATCTGAACTAATCCTGTTCAGAATACTGTAATGTTAATTACACGAAATTCTTTGTACAGTTTGTATTTGTTATTGATATTCAAACAGGGAATAACCAGGTGTGAAACATGAGCTAGAAACAAACGTTGTGTAAAATGTATTTTGAATAATTACCCTGCATAAAACTGCCTCACAGTGTCCAGGGGAAACACGGAGAAAAAGGTTGGGAACCACTGATGGAAACATGACGGACGCTACGACCTTTTTTAGGCTGTTTTTTCTGTGAGGCCTCATTATTTTCTTTACAAAAAGTTTGGTTTTCAGTTCATATTTTGTATTTGATTAAAAATTTTTGATGACAGTTATTTGAGAAAGTTTTAGAAGTTTCTGAACAAAATGCATCAGTGAAAACCAAAACAAGTATTATCACTATAGACCTGTGTAATACTTTTCATTGTTTATTATTATCTCAAAATAATTAGGTTTAAAACGGTGTAAAAACATGTCTTGTTAGTCCGTATTCACTCTTGGAAATCTTTTCAAGTACCCCCTGCAAGTACCGCGTGTACCCTCAGGGGGCCGCGTACCCCCGCTTAGGAAACATCATTAGACATAGAGCCTAAAGATAAGTCAGTGGTTAGAAGGAACTCTTGTCCTGAGACATGTTCCCACAGTGAGGAGCTGCAGTGCTCTATATGTCCAGAAGGGGGCAGCAAACACAAGCATATCGCCTCCTGACTGTTGTCAGACCCATGGTGCAGTCAAAGATCTACACAACAAAGAACGTGTTGAATGTAAATGTGTCACTTCTATATTATTGTTCCTGCCGTTTTATTTCATTTCATATTTTCTCGCACTTATTTATTATGTATTATTGTAATTGTATATATTATATTTTATCGTATATACATTTATTCATCATTGTGCAACATAAAACAAGAGTTCTGACTGATTTGAGTCCTCTCAAATGTGCTCAGAGTTGTTTTGTTTGTCGAGGTTTAAACATTATAAAGTTTAGAAGAGTGAGCGATGAGGAGAGCTGTTGTTTGTCGTTACAGTCAGTGTTTAACAAGAAAGACTGTGGTGTCCATACAACATGTATAATAATTAACAACATGTATAATAATTAACAACATGTATAATAATTATCACATGTATGATACTTAACAACATGTATGATAATTAACAACATGTATGATAATTATCACATGTATGATACTTAACAACATGTATGATAATTAACAACATGTATGATAATTAACAACATGTATGATAGCGCTGGATCTTAGCGCTGCCTTCGACACAGTAGACCACACCATTCTTTTATCACGCCTACAACACCTCGGCCTCTCTGGTGCTGTCCACAAATGGTTCACTTCTTATTTAACAGACAGATCCTTCATGGTAAGTTTGGATACCTGCTCCTCTCAGGTCCATAAAATCACATGTGGTGTGCCCCAGGGTTCCATTTTAGGTCCAGTTCTTTTTAACCTGTACATGCTCCCTCTTGGCGGTGTCGTCAGGAGGCATGGAATTGACTTCCACAGTTATGCAGATGATACACAGCTGTACATCTCCATGTCTCTGATGATACACAGCTGTACATCTCCATGTCTCTGATGATACACAGCTGTACATCTCCATGTCTCTGATGATACACAGCTGTACATGTCCATGTCTCTGATGATACACAGCTGTACATCTCCATGTCTCTGATGATACACAGCTGTACATCTCCATGTCTCTGATGATACACAGCTGTACATCTCCATGTCTCTGATGATACACAGCTGTACATCTCCATGTCTCCTGATGACACCAGGCCAATGGATGCTCTTTTTAACTGCATTTTAGACCTGAAATCCTGGATGGCAGAAAACTTTCTCCAGCTTAACCAGGACAAAACTGAGGTTTTAGTCATCGGTCCTGAGGCCCAGAGAGAGAAACTTTTACCGAAACTCCAATCACACTCTTTTAATCCATCATCACAAGTGAAAAACCTGGGCGTAATCTTTGACTCTGAGCTGACTTTTATTCCTCACATCAAGAACATCACAAAAATAGGTTTTTATCATCTAAAGAACATCGCCAGAGTCCGCCCCATTCTCTCTCGGGCCAACACGGAGACGCTGATGCTTTTATCACCAGTCGCATTGACTACTGTAATGCCCTGCTCTCTGGTCTTCCCAAAAAGAATATTTCAGGTTTACAATTACTTCAAAACTCGGCCGCACGTGTCCTGACTAAGACCAGGGGGCGTGTCCTGACTAAGACCAGGGGGCGGGACCACATTACACCGGTTTTAAAATCGCTGCATTGGCTCCCCGTGTGTTTCAGGATCGATTTTAAGGTTCTTTTAATGGTTTTTAAATGTCTTAATGGTCTTGGGCCTTCTTATCTTTCAGATTTGCTTTTATCCTATGAACCTTCCCGGCCCCTGCGCTCCTCCGGCAGCAGACTCCTAACCATCCCCAAAGTCAGGACACACACTCACACAGACACACACACAGACACACACACTCACGGCGAGGCATCTTTCCAGCACTACGGCCCCCGTCTCTGGAACAGTCTGCCGGAGGAGCTCAGGGTCGCAGAGAACGTTCATATTTTTAAGAGTAGGCTCAAGACGCACCTTTTTAGAGTAGCTTTTGATTAGTATTTATTATCTATTATTGCTTTTTAGTACATCTATTTATGTTTTTAGACGGATTATATTTTTATTTAATTTTATTATTTACTATTTTTAATTATTTATTGTATCTACCCATTTACTATTGTTATTATCAATATTAGGCAGCTGCCATTTTTCTTTTTATTTTCACATTTTATTGTTCTACTTTCTATTGTATTATTGTATTGTTTTAGTGTCCCCAGTGTTTCCTCTGGAGGAGCCCTCTGCACTGAGAGCTGGGGTCTGCTGTGGCTTCGGGGGTCTGGCTCTTGGATCTGGTGGGGTCTGGGGCCCCTCTCTCCTCTGGGTCCTATGGGGTCTGAGTCCTGGGCCTGGTGGGGTCTGGGGCCCCTCTCTCCTCTGGGTCCTATGGGGTCCGAGTCCTGGGCCTGGTGGGGTCTGGGGCCCCTCTCTCCTCTGGGTCCTATGGGGTCCGAGTCCTGGGCCTGGTGGGGTCTGGGGCCCCTCTCTCCTCTGGGTCCTATGGGGTCTGAGTCCTGGGCCTGGTGGGGTCTGGGGCCCCTCTCTCCTCTGGGTCCTATGGGGTCCGAGTCCTGGGCCTGGTGGGGTCTGGGGCCCCTCTCTCCTCTGGGTCCTATGGGGTCCGAGTCCTGGGCCTGGTGGGGTCTGGGGCCCCTCTCTCCTCTGGGTCCTATGGGGTCTGAGTCCTGGGCCTGGTGGGGTCTGGGGCCCCTCTCTCCTCTGGGTCCTATGGGGTCCGAGTCCTGGGCCTGGTGGGGTCTGGGGCCCCTCTCTCCTCTGGGTCCTATGGGGTCC